AGGTGGTGTTTTGATTGTTTTGCCATATTTCTTCAATTTGTGCTTGATAATTGCCCAAAATTTTTCAATGAGACGAAAATCTGGACAATTCGGTGGATTGATACTTTTCTCAATAAAATCAACATTATTCTGCTTATACCCTTCTATGACAACGCGGCTGTAATGGCAGCTGGCTTAGTCAGGCCAGAACTTTACGGGACCTTCGTATGATTGAATGAACCGCAAATTTATTTTCTGGATGCACTTCTCCTTGTAAAGTTGTCCATTCATAGTCGCTGCAGTGATGAAAACCTTTGTTTTCTTTCCGCAATTGCAAATGCCTTGCCAAATCATCAACTTGCGAGCGAATTTATCTGCAAAGACAAATTTGAATTTATCCAAATTTAGCTAACTAAAATTTTTGCCCGGGAATTGTCCAAAGTACATTTTTACGTTAGTTTCATCGTCCACCAAAATGCGAGTGTGCAGTATTTTTTCACGTCTGTCACGTTCCATCTTCGATAACTTTTGAACAAGTATCCTGATATCTGAATCCTGCTGAAATTCTCACTACTAAATAAACAATCCTTTCGGATCAAAACGCTGTCAATAGTTTCTTGCTACGTCAACTAGAGGCGCTACAGCAATTAAAAAGAAGCAGCCAAATACTAACTGGAACATACTTTAGCTCTATTTTACTGGCAATAGTTAAATCGTTTTTCAGTCGACATAGAATTCCATACTTTTTGGCAATTTTCTTGATGACATTGTGAGAGTTGAACTTAAGTTTGTTATCAATAATCACGCCAAGATATTTAATCTCCCGAACGCGATCAATAGTTTACAAAGTTTTTACTGGTTGTTTTCCTCCGTTAGTTGAGAAATACATGGCAACGATTAATCTTTATTTTGGTAGATATGAAAACATTTTAAAATCCATTTTTTATAAGTGATGCAATATAGGTAAAAAAGGGGAATCAACTCTGCACACTGTGCCGAAACACAGTATGACAGTCTGTTCGGCACGTTAAGGCACACGCTTATACGTATGACACGAACAATATTATATAAAACGGCAACACTGTTGATCGCTTCAGTTTTTCTAATCGATTTACATGTTGCTAAGGTGTGTTTACTCCAAATGAAAATATCCGTCAATACTGGTGGAACAGTGATTAATTCTAAAATTATAAAAGTTTATTGAGATATACCAAGTGTGGTGCCGTTTTTAAAATGGAAGAGGCATGGGATGAGGTAAGTATTTTCAAAAGTTCTACTCAATTGAAAAACTATTAAATATAATATACAAACTCAGTAGGAGCTGGAGTATGGCCAAATAAATCTCCACAACAAGCATATTAAGAACACAAACATTAAAGTCTGAATAATACAGAGCTCTACAACGGGGGAACCTGGAGGGCCCCCATCAAGCAGAGATGTCCCAACAGCCGAAAGGAATTTAAAAAAGACTAAACTTTAAAATACAATGTAGCATCCATTAAAAAGCGCATTACTGCTGCCAGTGTGGAGGGATCATCACCCAGCATGTTGCGTACGCTTTTTGGTGCCGGTGGGTTCCCGCAGGTTCTGATACTGAGGGCATACGCATAAAATGTGCTCGATTTAGGCGACGCAAGTCCTGTGGAGCGGCTTTCCACCGAAATTGTGCGAGATCTTGCTGTAACCGGTCCTCAAACGCGACGCTATCTTCTGATCCCACTGGTTCAACGGTTCTGTCCACTTCCTCGTCGTCCCTTTGATCCGTCTGATGAAGAGGGAGCGGTTTTGGGCCCACTCCGCGTCCCAAGCTTCCCATACTTTGCTCACGATCCACCGCTTGACATCGTGAAACGGTACTTCGTTGGTATATCGAGGGGCAAATGGTCCAGTCCCAGCCAGAAAGTCAGCTTCAGAGTTGCCTAATATTCCGCAGTGCCCCGGAACCCAGCAGAATGCCGTGTTTGGTGGTGCGGACTTCATCGTCGCCTGTACCCAGGGATGAGTTGGGGCCTCGGATTTCAGGGTTTGTTTGACGCGATGAGAATCCGTGAGGACCAGGATGGGTCGGTCCGAGGGCGTTGTAGCAGCGATAAAGATGGCAGCAGCTTCAGCAGAATATTGCGATTGTAAACTGCAGCTGGTTGGTTTGATGTTTCCGGCAAGACCGATATCGACTCCGGCCCGTTGCAAATTAAGTTTAAAGGAGATAATAATATCATAAACTATAATAATTATAATCTACAGGTCGATAAATTTTTGTCGACTCACATCTGTTCCTTTACTACGCCCTGAAGACAAAAACCCTAGAGGCATCATGGTTTTGGGTAACTTTTACACCATTGCACAGTGGTCCAGAATGCAGATTTAGGTGGAATGATATGTTTTGAGCCTGAAATTGAAACTTTAGACTAAAAGTCTCTTCTACAAAGTTGTTCCTTATAGTTAGGCCCTCATTTTTATGACAATGAATTCTAGGGTGGTTCCTATTATCATTAAAATAAAAAATCTAACTTTTTTGTTTGAATATATTAAGGTACACATTCTTTGACAAAGTTATAGCTGAGCTAATTTCAAGCAACTTTGTTTGTACTAGCACATTTTATATAAATGTGTCATTAGAGTGGTCCTATGAAATCCATCTTTTGCCAATAACTTTTTTATTTGAAATTTATCATGAAAGTCATCTTCTAGAGACTTTTTAAATTCTTTAAGACGAATGTTTTATAGCTGGATTTGTTGCCTTATCCCTTCTAATAAAAAAGATATACTCAAATATAGTAAAAAATATGAATAAATTCAAATTGATTTTATACGAGTTAAAAAAATAACATACAAATAACATAAATTGCGCCTTCTTAAGATCTAAAAGTTATCTGAAAACACTTTTGCTGAGAAATTCGAAATAAGAAAAATAGAGCAAAAAAACTGTTTTTTTTAAGAGCCACCCTAACTCAATTCAAGAAAATAGCTCTAAATCGGCCAATTTAAGAGATACAAAAAAGTTATTTTCAACAAAGTTGCTTGAAATTAGCTCAGCTATAACTTTGTCGAAGAATGTATACCTTAATTTATTCAAACAAAAAAGTTAGATTTTTGATTTTAATGATAATAGGAACCACCCTACAATTCATTGTCATAAAAATGAGGGCCTAACTATAAGGAACAACTTTGTAGAAGAGACTTTTAGTCTAAAGTTTCAATTTCAGGCTCAAAACATATCATTCCACCTAAATCTGCATTCTGTACCACTGTGCATTGCTTCAACTGGAGAACTAACCTTATCGAATGATATTCACCGACAAGCAAACATTTGTGCTTACATTTCACTTGTAGAGTCACCGAAAAAAGATTTATTTTTGCCAAGCAACGCCCTAGTCTATTTTCAAACATTATTTAAAGAAGATAAATCTTAAACACAGCTTCTAATGTAATTGTTTCTTGTTCAGAAATATATTTCAATAGCAGCAACACCATCATCATCAGCATTATCAACATGATCGATAATAACCTAATCATCTTTTGAAATTAGGAAGCAAATTTAGGAAAAAAAATAACATTCGTTTACGTTTTTCAATGAACCATCCATGAAAGCTTGAAGTTTTATACAAACAATCTCAAAAGTCATAACTGCAGGGTTGCCAAACTCATGGGGTACTGAGACCGACAACTTGATTGCTACAATGCGGCACGTTCGGCGCAACACTGGGCACAGCTGTCGGCACAGTAAGTACTAGGCACAGATTGAGATATGCAGCGTAGAGGGGGTAGAGAGCGTTTATTAATAATGTCACGCAAAATTTGCCCAAAATTAACCCATATTCAATACACATATCAACATAACAATACTGAGGGCTATTCAGCACCGCAAGTGAGGTGAGGTTACTCGTTGTCACTAGTGAAGGGACAGTAGTCACCACCTCAAGGGACGTGACTCTCCGTGCAAAGCAAATGGCAAGTTACCGCCCTTGAGGTGACTATTGTCACCTCACTAGTGACAGCGAGTCACCTCACCTCACTCGCGGCGCAGAATAGGCCTCACTGGGTTACAAGTATGAGCAATTGAAATTGAATATAAGCAAAAGTAAATTCATATAAGTAAATCGAGTAAATGAGATCGTCTCTGTTATAATTGATGATGAGACTATCGATCGCGTTCAGGAGATTACTTATCTTGGCGTGATTATTGATAACAAACCCTAACATTGACAATATTATAAAGAAAATTTTCAAGAAGTATGGAATTCTATGTCGACTGAAAAACGATTTAACTATTTGCAGTAAAATAAAAGTATAGAAATTAATCATCTGAAATTTTGCTCTTCCATTTTATTGTTGGCTAATGAAACGCAAATATTTATTTTTCATACACTCCTATACGTCTCTAGCTCAACAATGTAAAGAATTAGTTTCCATCCGCAAAGACCAAGACAATTCCCGGTGTGCGCTACGTTCGAAATGTCAAATCAAATTGCCCAACAATAAGATCGCACGTGGCTGATGGAACAATTGTTGCCATTTTAAATGCCTACTTATAACAAACAACCACACGCCATACATACCAGGAACGGAAATAAAGTGCGTGAAGATACGCGACTGCAAATAAAGACGCGCCAAGGAAACCAGATAAGCTTACTGCCTGATGTGTGTCTATACACTTGCGGGTGCTGTTGACATGACACATTCAGCTCAGTTCAGGTTCACGTATGTACCTACCTATCTGCTGGGCTAAGAAACTAGAAGGATTCAGTCTGTCTAACAAACACAGAACGAAAGTAGTATGCCTAGGTCAATGATCACGTCCGATTCGTAATAGCTGTAATAGGCGATGAATAATAATGCTCCATTCGCGAGGTGTCGCACTGATGAAGAATAATAAAACCGATTCTTCAAGCCACGCGAGTCTCTCTTATTTTGGTTGTTCTACAGCGATGATCCAAAAAATAAGATAAATGACAAAAGTTCCCAGACAAAGTGCCGTTTTATCCTGTTCACCGTACCGCAAAAAGTGTCATGTAATTTCATTTGTTCTGCCCCAATGCTCACCCAAGCGACCGTTATCAGTGAGCAAGTTAATGAATATTATCTCGTTCGCCAAATCTGCTCAATAAAATTATCACTTGGCCGTGTCGAAAATGTCTTCATTTGGCACATCGCTTGCTTCCCATCCCACCTTTCACGCAAAGTTTCACAAGCTGAGCTTATCGGGACAAATCTCGTTAATTTTATCTCCCTCTTATATCCTTACTCACACCCGCCCTCCACCCCACTCACAATATGATTCCAAGTAAAACTCTCATTTCATGTGGTGTACAAGCGTAACAACCTCGGTAACAACTTCATTCCCTGCTGTTGGATGCTGCACATTTCTACCGGCAGGCTGTCATCACACCTCAAGATGCCTCTTTCTACTCGTTTCCACCTCCATCTACCATGAGCAGATGGCTTTTGTGCTGTTCCTCCTCGAGCAGTGTTTGCTGCATCCGCTCCTTGGCCACCGTCTCCAACCGCTGGTAAAGCTCGTGTTCCGGCCGGATGAATTCGGCAAACACTTTCCGCCGCAGTACGAAGATTTGGGTAAACTCGATCGCGATTACATTTACCAAGTGCTGCAAGAGAGGATGGGAATAAAAAAAAAATGTGAGAACATGTGGGGAAAGCTTCCAGTTTCAACCAAAATGCTGGAAGTAGAAGTAAGAATAGTAATGTGAGTTGACCAAAACAACCAAAACCAACTAATATGGAGAGCCTTGTCTGGACCTATCTGTGCGGCTTGTGAGCCTGTGGTCCAAAATGGCAAATAGAGGAACTTTTTTCTCAGAGCCTGCCCTTTGAGCAGTTCTACAGAAAATAGCGAAAAGAAAATTGAATTTATAAATCGACCCTCTCCGATTTGCATGAAACTTTGCATAATTGTTTCTTTTGGGCAATGATTCGCATGTGTGGCCATATTAGATCTTGAAAAATTTCAAAAATGGTACCGGAAATTTAAAAAAAAATGTTACACGGGAACGGCAAAAAGTTGAAAAAAAGGTGTTGAGAAAAATAATGCTTTTCTTTATTTTATCCCCATAGAAATACAACGATCAGCGTTCGTTTTTGAACATTTTTTAGTGACTATGCCGGATGGATTAGTCTATGGTAACCCAATAAACACCGGGCTATTGAAATCAACTCACATAATCTACTTGTAAGTTTTTAAGAATCAGTGCCACACAGTGTCGACAAAGACAAGATGTCTTTAATACCCCGTTCACATTACAGCCTATATCACGTAATATAGGCTGTCTTGCAATGTGCACTCATACATAGGATTTCCTGTGAAAACTAGATGTATGAGTGCTCATTGCAAGACAGCATGTATCACGTGATATACGCTGTAATGGGAACGGGGTATAAAAGTTTGTCAATGCACCATGGAGGATTTACATAGAAGCAGGCGGACAAAAATATTTCCGTCATTTTTTCGCATTTTTTGCAATTATTACTTCATGGTAGTTAGGTAATTAATTTACGTAGTTCATAATCAATTTTCAACATTTCATGGCCAACTTTTTTTTTTTTTTGTTTATTAATTTATTTGATAAGGCTCAACCGAATTAACTTTACAGAGCCGACGATTCTTGGTCACTATACAATACATCTTAAAGCTATAGTCAAAAGATACAACACAATAAACACTTTATCTTCCGCTATCCAAAAAGCCTCCTCAACCAGAACTGGAGCCGCTTCCAGTAGTTTCATTTATGGCAAATTGTTTTACGCCAACGAGGGTCAGAGCGCGTCCATTGCAGAAATGGACGCAAAACGAAACGAAACGGTTGCTTTCCAAAGTCGACGACGCATCGACCGGAAGAACTGCCGATGAAGAACAATGAGGAGGACCACACAATGGTTGCTGCCGAGAAAACAGACGATCGCGTAGCACACATCGAGAGTGGCCTGCTTTTGTCGACAGCCGAGTGAACACTGATGGCCAACTTTTGATTGGTTTAAAATTAAAAATTACATTTTTATATCGCTTACAGCAGAAGATTGATTTCAGAAAATAAAGACACCCTACAGTTCAAGAATAACATGTGAAAAGAGCCTATCAGCTTAAGTCAGCTTTCATAAGTTTCTCCAATGCAATGCAGTTATAAGTTATAACTTATAAAAAGTTATAAGTTATAAGTTAAGTTATAAGTATCAGTTATTGGACAACTTACAGAATATTCAAATATCATGAAACTGAAGTATACTGTCAAATGGCAGTTCTGATTTTTTTAAAACAGAGATAGAAACAGTAGCATGAAGATATCTGTTTCATCTGTACAGTTTCATGGAATAAACCATTCTAACGAGTCGTCACTCTTGTTTCGACTACCATCCTAGAATCACCGCTTTAAGACTACGGTCATCCAAAATCAACCCAGGCATTTAACCCTTAATAATTAGTTTTCCTCTCATCAGTGAACATAGCAGAAACTTTTCACGATGTCAGGATAATCCAGAAACACCTTTTTCTGTAGTCTTTTGGCCATCCAAATGGAACTGATCAATGGGTCTGATTCATTCATGGCACCAGTGTTGGGAAAATATTAAACAATCAAATCTCACCAAAGAACAATATCACCACAGACAAACAGACGTAACACTTCGTTGTGTATCTTCGTTCGTTCGTTTAACGGTTGATTTGAATATTATCAGTTCCGCAAACTACTCGCCGCAGCGCTGGCATCGGATCACTTTGACGTTTCTATACATTCTATAGAACTTTTATGCAATATTGTTAGTGAACTAGCGAGCAAGCTTGTTTTCCGCGAGAAGCCCGAGAGATGTCGTTACTGAGGTCATATGTTGAGATACTATGTTTTCAAGAAAAACTTTTTCAAAGAGTTACGTCTGTTTGTCTGTGGTATCACACTTGATTTTCGGAGACAAAATCAACAAGTAAACAACTGCGGTTGATATTGTAAGCAGTGATATCGCTCGCAATATCAAACTAACAAAACTCACCAGCTGCAAATCTCAACAAACTGTGGTGAGATTGAGTTTCATGATTTTGGTTTTACACCCGACCGCACCCGAAAACGGCTGGCAACATTCGCTTCGTGGCTGCCATCCAGGGGGCTGGCAACCCTATATCAATCCTATACGTTTGACAGTAGGCAACATCACGGGCCTTATTTAAATACGGCCCGCCTGTCGTATACATGGTGGAAAGGGATGGAAAATCGTGTTATAAACAAACAGAAAGACAAGGGCAGATGATAGCATCAAAAATATGGCTGCCAGCCAGGCCCCTGCTGCTATCGGTAAAGAGAAAAACTAGATAGCATTATTATACCTTCTCTTTCTAAGAAAACGAGCTGCAACGAAGTCATTGTTGCGTCGAATCAACTATCAGCTTAAACTGTACACGTTGTGAATAGTTTCGCAATATCAAAGGAGCTTGTAAAATCAATATAAAGCATGAAAAATATAAATTTGCTAATGATTATGCCATCACTGCATGGCATGAATGAAAATATCATGTAAATTGTCTACTCTTGATCGTTTTCTTCGGCCAAGAATCATCTCTACAGCACAGTGTAATTTATTTGAGCATGTTTGGGTGAAATCTCACATAGCAGGTGAAACACACGTGTTCGCTTCAGTCTATTTTCCACCAGACCATGCTCATAAAAACACTTATAAAATATTCTTCCAAAATGCTGAACAAATTATATCTCAACTTCCTCCTGAGGTGAAAGTTTGCATCTATGGAGACTTCAACCAACGCCATGACGACTTCATTCTGGACTCTGAAAATTAAAGTATCTTACTCCCAGTCGTTGTTGATAATGAAACATTGCAGTTCATTTTCGACAAAACTGCTTATTGAACCAAATCAATTAATGCAGCAAAATTGCTATTTAGACTTCTTAGTTACGAATATTTATGCAGATTTCTGTGTGACCGAATCATTATACCCATTGTGGAAAAACGAAGCATTATTTGTGCATGAATAGCAAAGACCCAACGGCTGCGAATACGAGATAGAAATTAGTAGTCTACGAAAATATCAAACATTAATTAAACAGCGTCAATTGGCAAATAATTCTAAGGAATGAAGGAAATGTCGAAGCTGCTGTAGACATCTTCTACCAAATTTTATAAGAAATAAAAGACGCAACAGAAGCACAACAAAATCCAGTCTGGTATAACAGACAAATAAAAAACTAAAAAAACGGAAACAGAAAGCACTTAAACATTACAATAACGTGGACCCCCGCTAATCTGAACGACACCCCAGTCGCGCTTGCTGATTCCTGTCATCGTAGTCGTTCTGGCCCTGTGGTTGAGAATGGTGAAGGGGTCTTCCAACCTTCTACATCAGGCAAGTATGCGTTTGTTGAAAACAGTTCTTCTCCTGATCCGTCTCTGTGTTCCAGAGAGATCATTCTGCAGACCTCCAACCGACTTCGTTCGACCGCCTGTTGGTGTATTACCAGAACGTTCGTGGCCTGCGAACAAAGATTGATGATTTTTTCCTGACTACCGTTGACTCTGACTACGATGTCATAGTTCTTACGGAAACTTGGCTCGATGACCGCATTAATTCATCTCAATTATTTGGCAGTCTATTCACGGTATTTCGAAACGACCGCAACCATCAGAATAGTACCAAATCGCGTGGGGGAGGCGTCTTGATTGCGGTATCCAAACGTCTAAGCTCCTGCATCGATCCTGCTCCAGTTTGCACTTCTCTAGAGCAGCTGTGGGTCAAAATAACGACGCCTCGTAGATCAATAAGTATTGGCGCTATGTATCTACCTCCAGACCGGAAATCTGATTCGAGCAGCATTGCAAACCACATCAGTTCGATTGGTACCGTGTTCTCTCGACTAGAAGAAAACGACCTAGCTCTGATATTTGGTGACTACAATCAATCTGGGCTCTCATGGAACGTTCCTGCAAACGATCTTCCTAGCATTGATGTTCTTCGCTCGAACATGCCCGCATCATGCTGTGCTCTCCTTGATGGTTTCAACCTACATGGCTTAACGCAAATCAACTCGATACTGAATAGCAACTCTCGGCTGCTTGATCTCGTTCTGGTGAACGAAGCTGCAGGACTGGACTGTTCTATCCTACAAGCCCCAGAGCCTTTGATTGGCATCGACACCAATCATCCTGCGTTGGAAGTTTCCATCAACCTATCTGTTCCTGTTCGCTACGACAACCCCCCTGTTGATGTACATGAGCTCGACTTTCGTAGAGCAGATTTCGTCACGGTGAGTCACTCGCTTGCCCAGGCAGATTGGCAGTTCCTTGACACGTGTTCATCTATTGATGAAGCCGTCAACTACTTCGCTGAGGTCATCGGCCGGGCAATAACTGATTCTGTCCCATTGAGGAGACCCTCTCCCAAACCCGTATGGTCCAATGCTCGACTACGGAATTTGAAGCGTCTGAGATCGAAGGCCCTCCGTAAATACTGTCGTACTTGTAACTCATTCACCAAACGATTATTTTCAACAGCAGTGCAGAAATGCAATCTTCTGGCAGAACATTTCAAAACCATTTTCAATGACCCTACGGCTTCGTAGTCCCAAGTTGCTGAAGCGGTGAGGGACACTCCCAG